GGTCTTCCGGCTCGAGGCGGAGCAGTTCCGCCCGCGAGGCACGGTTGCTGCCGCGGTTGCCATAGAGGACGCGCGAGGCGCCGTCGAAGCGGTCGCGCAGCACGTCACCCACGGCGCGCAGCGTGGGCAGTCGCATCCAGCACGTGCGCACCGTGCACGAGCCGGACATCCCGTGGCACTTGCACTCCTGGCGCATCTCGGAGAACACGGTCTGGGGGACAAGGGAGAAAAAAGGCTGTCCCAGGGTGCTGCCGGAGCCGGAGCCACCATCCCCATAACAGCCTCCTCCCGGCGCCGCTGGGACCTCAGCACAGGGCCAGGCCCAGCCGTGCCCAGGGGAAGGGAGGCAGGAAACGCCCCGCAGGGATTTGGATATCACGCTGTCTTGGCTTTTCAGCCTCATTTTTTGAATCTGGACAATGGAGGGGGCAGTAGACAATGATTTCTATGGGTTACATGACTTCCAACCTCTTCGGTTCTACCCGTCCTCGGCCCCAGGCACCCCTGAGCCTCCTGCCCCTTAACGCTGCCATTCTCAGGCTTCCCTCCACGCCGCCCGCTCCCTCAGGATGCTCTCCCCTGGGTCTCTGCCCTGAGTCCTGGCCTGATCGCCAACCGTTGCTTCCCAAGCAGGAGGTCAGCCCCTGCGCCGACCCCTGCCGCTCCGCGTCTGCAGAGCTCCTCAGTCGGCTCACCGTTCGGCCCGCCTCGTTGTTGTGAAGGTTCATGAGGAAGCGCAGGTCCCGCCCCTTCTCCCCGGAATCCACAAACTCCCGGCCGAAGAGGCGACCGAAGTCGATGTTGTCGCTGCAGCCTCCCCAGTGCCAATCGGGGCCCCCAGGGCCGCGTCGCCGATAGTCGCACGTGCAGGACTCGATGGAGCCCTCGGAGCAGGAGCGAGCCACCGAGTGGGTGACCCCAGCAGAGGTGATCGCGAAGATAAATGCTGTTTCCCGACAGCCTGTGGGGGAAGGGATCAGGGATCAGCGAAGGGCCACGCAGGGTGCAGGGTGCAGCCAGCACCCTCAGTGAGGGCTTGGGACCCTGGAGTCCGCCGCCCCGCCTCCGCCCTGGGCGTCCAGGCGGTGGGCTGTGTTGGCTGTGTTGGGAAGCTGGTCTCATAGGGAAAGCACGTGCGTGGGTCACAGTTGTCCTCACGCATTAGAGACTTAGCGCGCATTTTGGCTCCTCCGTGGAAGTGGGGCAACCCCAGAAAGAAAACAACAACAACAACAACAACAACAATGAAGAAAGGGGAGCGGAGGAACTCTGCACCGCTGACACTTCTCTGCAGCCCAAACTCGGCCCCTGTCGGCTAAGCAAGCCTTGCTGGGCTGGAGGCAAGACGCACCCCTACAGAGAGCAGGGGCTGGGGAAAAGCGACCGTGGCCAGCGGTCAGCGGTCAGCGGCCACAATTCAGGACTCCCTGTTTCTGAGGCAGTGGCTCGGGAAAGTTAAGCTTCGTGTCCGAGGTGTACGGCTTGAACGCGTCTGGTGGGCTGAGTTTGGTCCAGAGCTGGCGCCGAGCATAAAGCTCCTGGCCAGTTGATGGCGTGACCCTGCCGCAGCCTGGGACATCTTCCCTGCACTCGCCCACCCGTGCCCTGTGGGTGACCCCGAGTTCCCCTAGTCCCGGAGGCGTCGCCTTCCTGGGTACCCACCTCGGTTGACGATCTTGCCGAAGAGGTGGGGCCCCGAAGCCGTGGGGCAGTTCCAGCGGCGGTTCCGGAACTGCCACTTGCACTCGCGCACAGCGCTCTGCAGCCCCCCACTCACACTGTGCAGGATCCCTGGGTTCTGGCGGATCAGCCGCCGCTGCTTGCGGCTCAGCAGCTGCAGACTGGGCTCCAGCACCAGCTGCAGACTCTTGGAGTCGGTCAGTAGGTTCGTGGAGGAGGCTACGTTCACGATGCCCCTG